TTAAAGTGATTGGATTGGTCTGTGGGTTTAGTGACGAACTCTATTATATATGAGGTACCTGTTAGATGTTAGTAATCTGGTGTTCATTCCATGGCAGGATGATTTGACAACTACCCTCGTACAACAGTGTCATCAGTCCCAAACCACCGTCCAGAGAATTATTGAAACTGTTGGAGATAATGAGGCCTTGCTTTTTGAAGCTTTGAATGTTAATGACGAGCTTCAGAAAATCCTCTCCAAGTACGACGAGATGAAGAAGCCATCGGCTGGTCCTACTGAACCAGAGCCAGCCATGATTCCTGTTGCTGTTGAACCTGATGATTCGCCTCGTCATGCAAGAGACGATGCTCTTATTCGGAAGCCAGCAGGTTCTCGAGGTGGGGCCCATGGGGGAAGCAATGATGACATGATGGATGATCTTGATGAAATGATTTTCGGTAAGAAAGGTGGAGGTACATCTGGAGGAGGGCAGGATTCAAAAAAGCAACAATCATCTAAAGATGATCTCATTAGCTTTTGAGCTGCGCAGGTGATGAATCCATGATATCTATGATGGTTGGTTCCTTATTGGTGCTAATACTGTGTCATTCATTTAGGTTATGAAAATTTTTTAGTTCTTGACCATGAATATTATATCCATCATAAACAGGAATGTGGGTGGGTTTTCCATTTGCCATACTCTTTTCTCTGCATATTTTATTTTATGTAAGTAATCAATCTTGGGTTGTCTGCATTATTGCTTGAAGGGGTATATATATATATATATACATATATATACGTATGGAAGTTTTACTCTTCTCTCTGCATATTTTATTTGAAGTATTCATGTTCCCATGCATTACATCATTAAAACATCTAAAGGCTTCTCTGGTTTTCCTTCAAGGATTTGATATCCTGTTGACAATAAGTTACATAGGAGTGATTTATTTTTACTCTCTCAATATATAATGCAACAGTTACAATTTATTTACTTATTTTAATATTATTTTATTTATCTTGAACTTAAGAAAAATATGAGCAATGGGACCTTAAAATTATTTCAAATATAATTTAAATTTGTCCAGGCTGTTTTTAGAGAATAAACATGCAATATCACTAATTAATATATATATATATATATATATAAATATTTGGTTACAAGAAATAATTCATATTCTTCGTTGAAAATTTTCAATTTCTTATAAGTAACCTCAACCAAAACTAAAATTTCTATCTTAAATAATAATTTCAATAAATATTTTAATAAGACAATTTATATAAGTTAGTAAAAATATTATATAGTACCATATATTGAAATTAATTTAAGATATAGATTAAGATTTTAATTTTATTGTTTATTTTTAAGATGCAAATAGGTTGACTGTAATTGACAATTTAACCATATTAAATTATAATTAAAATTTTATCATTATGTATTTTAAAATATAAAAATAAAATGAATGTGATAATATATATTATAATTATATTTAAAATTTAAATATAAAAATAAAATATAATTTTTATTTGATTTGCAATTTTTGCATTATATAAATTTTATATATAAAAATAATTACAATAATAAATAAACTTTAGTTTTTAATAGTGTAGTATATAATTAAATTTTACAATTATAATTCAGATGTAACATATATATTTAGTTAAATTTTTTATTATTTAAAATTTTTGATAAATTGTAATCCCCCTTTACAACGTAATAAAAAAAATTTAGTTTAATTATATTTCTTGCTCCAACTCCCAAACACCTTCTTCTCAGTCCCCGTTCCAACAGTGGTAGTGGCCTAGGCAGAAGTCCGATCGAGGAGGAGGTATTCTGTGAATGAAGCCTGGGAGAATCAGATCAAATTCTTACAACTCCACAAATTGATCTGTGATTATTATAAACACTTGAGCCAGAAACTGAATCAACATACAAACAAACATACCACTAGACTCTATTCGTAACTCAAAGCTCGAACCAATGCCTGCAAAACAAATTCATCCACAATCAAGACCTAAATCTTCAATCCTCATCTTTGCTCTCACTCTCTTTGTTCTCTCTCTTATCTTCGTTTTATTGTCTCTCTCTTCGTCTTCATTTTCATCTTCATCCTCATCTTTCTCCCGCACTCCCGTTACGTACTCCAACCTGCAGGTCGAACCCGAAACTTCCTTCGTGGCTTCTCTCGAGAATTTCTTGACTCAGAAAGTCCCAAAACCTTCCTCTCCAGTTAGAGATGATACTGTCCGTACCGTCAGAGAAGAGGATGTAAAGAGGCTCGACGATTTGAAGTATAGGAGCGAGAGAAATTGGTTGCACAGAGATCAGTCTTACCCGTTGAATTTTCCCATCAGGATTTATGTGTACGACATGCCTAGCAAGTTCACGTACGATTTGCTTTGGTTGTTTAGAAATACTTACAGGGAGACTTCTAATCTCACATCTAATGGCAGCCCTGTGCATCGCCTAATCGAACAGGTATGAGTTTAAAGTTGTGCTCTTCTTGTTTCTCTTACTTTTGCTATTAGATTGGGCTATTGCAATTTAAAGTATTCCGTTATTAATTTTTTAGAAATAATCTTCCGTTATTATAAAATAAGAAAATTGGAGATTAAATTTGTTTCACATTCATCGTCAAGTTAATTTTCATTGGTTGTCTGTTCTCATGTTTGTGAGTATTACATAATTTCTAGGTTAAGAAGTGTTGAGTTGGTTCGAAAAGACAGGGAAAGCTCTTCTTGCATACTGTAATTTCTCGCCACCACTGAAAAATATAAGAATTATCACCAACCCAGATCATCGTTCTATTTCTACAAATATAAAATGTTTAGGTCTTATTGGAATGATGTTTCCAATCCCTTCTCAGGTTGTTTGGTTTAATCTTTCCCCGAGTTGGAATTATCTATGATCTTGTCTATTTGCAGCATTCCATTGATTATTGGATTTGGGCGGATTTGATTGCTCCAGAGTCAGAAAGGGTTTTGAAAAATGTTGTCAGAGTCCATGAGCAGGAGGAAGCGGACCTGTTCTATGTGCCATTCTTCACTACAATTAGCTTTTTCTTATTGGAGAAGCAAGATTGCAAGGCACTTTATAGGGTGTGAGTGAACTTCCAATCTTACAATAATGCTGTACATTTATTACGTCTGATGGATGTGCTTTTATATTATTAATGTATCTCGAGTGATTTTCTGCCCTTTCCCTTTTTATCTGGAATTTAAGTTTCCGGAAACTGATCTTACTTCCCTGAACTGGCTGATGTTTCTGAGTAAGTCAATTTTAGCCTAGCTTTGTCCATACATGATAAATAACTTTGTCTTGTTGTTCCCCATGCCTTTTCTCATATGTTTGATGGAAACATCAAATCTAACTATGTTATGTATTTTGTCCAAAAACCAACTGAATTATGTTAGATGGAATCTTCATTTTATACTAAGATATATATTTGCATTTCAGAAGTACAGATGTGGCTCTTTAAGGTTTGAAATAGAAAATAGTACCTGAGATTCAAATCTTTAAGTATTTTTTACTTGATTCATGATAAAAAAGCATTCAAGATGCAAGGATGACAATGAAGCATTCGAGGTGACTGTTAACATGTACTTGCTTAGAGTATGACCTTAATTTCATCACAAGAAACCACATTATGGTAATAGTGATTTTTATTTCAGAAAAAAAAAATTACGCTGATAGTGATTTTGTGGTTGCAAAATTTTCTTCAGCTTGTGAGATGGAGATCAGATTTTTATAGGCAACTGGATTTTGTTGATGTTTATCATCTAATGATTCATATTTCATTTGAGTACTTGAATTTGTTCTCGATTCTGTTGTATGGGTATTTAAAAATTTCTTTACATGAGTTGAACTCAAAAGTTAGATGTTATCCTGAAAAGTACATTTCTTTTCTTTTCTTTTCTTTTTTAGTGGGATAATATGAGATATCACTGCTAAGGCTCTTATTATATTGCTTTTACATATAGGAAGCTTTGAAGTGGGTTACAGATCAGCCTGCTTGGAAACGATCTGAAGGAAGGGATCACATATTTCCCATTCATCATCCTTGGTCCTTCAAGTCTGTTCGTAGAAATGTGAAAAATGCAATTTGGTTGTTACCTGATATGGACTCCACTGGAAACTGGTGACTGATATGTTTTCAATTAAAAATGATTTGTCTTTTGTCAAGTTGGCTTTGGTATATCTGCTTAGGATTGATTAGTTTTGAAATTTTAGGTATAAGCCAGGGCAAGTTTCACTGGAGAAAGACCTAATTCTTCCTTATGTCCCAAATGTTGATTTATGCGATGTCAAATGCATATCAGACACTGCATCAACGAGAACCACACTTCTGTTTTTCCGTGGAAGGCTTAAAAGAAATGCTGTAAGAGTTTTTACCAAAGAGTTAATAAATTTTTGTCTGTATTTTAATGATAATGCAGAGTTTTTGTTGCAAGAATTTTTGTCAACCTGATTATTTCATCTTATTGGTCTCAAAATTAGATTTATTTTGGTACCTAAAGATTATAACAGATCCCTCAGACAACTGGAAAATACGGAATTAATGATGACCCATTGCGCTTACAGATTGAGAGCATATGCTATACTTCCGGGTATGGAATCTTGTTAGTGTCTGTTAACTGCAAACAACTTGCAACAAGCAGGAAACATGCTTGTTAGACTTCCACACTATCGACCTACTGTGATTGTTGGGACTTGTTAGAGAGAACCCTCGATCTCTAGCGGATAGTCTAACTTACTGATTATAGTTCAGTTGTTTTGTTCAGTTACAAAGTGCCACATACATAGATAGGCTGCGGCAACCAGCCTTCTACCATATAGGATCACAATTGATGATTGTTCCTAGTCAAGTTACTTGCCCATCCAAAAGATGCCTAATAAACCAAACACTAATCCTCTCATAAACAAAGAAGTAAATCTGAACTAAAAGATAGTTTTCTAGGGTATAGAAAAGTCATTGTGGTGCAGATTGCTGATTGTGATTATCAGAAAGTGGTATGCAGTATATCTGTGGGTTCCCTATGTCTAGATTCTGCCAATAAACTGATTGTGATTGATAATAGGTATTATGGTATGGTGGGTTTTATTGGAAACTATTTCCAGGAACAACTAGCCTAGTGTGACACAGAATGGTTCATGGGGTTTTTGAGAGGACAATAGTACACTGTTTTTAGAGAAAAAAAAAAAGAAAAGAGATTAAGAGAGAGAGAGAGAGAGAATACACTGAGATCTTCAAAACGATTTTCAGGAAGACTGACCTATGGATCTGTAAGTAGAGAATGGTTATTTTGTTTACTTGAGATTGAGTTTTTGAGAGTTAAAATGGTTTGTTGGTGGGATCTGGATTTGGCTTCTGGTTCAGTCGGTTTGATTGAAGTTTGTAGACATTTTGATTCAGAATGTTATTTTAACCAGTCATGCTCCTCCAACAAATGAAAATAATATAAACTGTTTTCTTTCAGGGTGACTAAGTTTCACACACAGAGAGACACATGTATGTTTGAGCCCTTTGACATGACATGTCTATTTGAAATTTTACTACTGTTGTCTCCTAGGTGCTCTTGAAGGTGTAAATTAAGCTTTTTCTTTGTTGTGTAACTCTCACATGCATAACATCTTCTAGACAATCTGGGTAAGAGTTTACTAGAAATTTTGTTTGTCCTCCTAACGCTATCATAACAGTACTTATGGTTTTTCGATTAATCATTTTTCTTTTTATGTAGTTTTAACTTTCTTTAATTGACATACAATATATCAAAATATTTTTGTTGTGTGGCCCGTGGGATACTTGGTGCTTGGATATGTTGTTGGCAAATGGTAACATAACATTTCCAATTTTCTACTCTCAGGGAGGAAAAATCCGTGCTAAACTTGTTGCAGAACTAGGTGGTGCTGAAGGTGTAGTTATGGAGGAGGGAACAGCTGGGGAAGGAGGGAAAGCTGCTGCTCAGGATGGAATGCGCAGGTCAATTATAGAGCAGCATTACCTTTGTTACATTGCTGCATTTTGGCTGTACTTCTTTATAACAAATTGTTGCTTCTTCTGTCACCAGGTCCATATTCTGTTTAAGCCCAGCTGGTGACACTCCATCTTCTGCGAGATTGTTTGATGCTATTGTTAGTGGGTGTCTACCAGTTATAGTTAGCGACGAATTGGAGCTTCCTTTCGAAGGGATACTTGATTATAGGAAGGTATATGGAACTCTGTAATTACAGTTGTAATAATACTAGGTACTTTTTGAAGGTATATGGAATTCTGTAATTACAGTTGTAACAATACTAGGTACTTTTTGAAGTTCAATAATGCAGAACTGATGCAAGTATCTCATTGTTTCCTTCATTGATATTTTCAAATAGTGTTTTGGAGTCCATATGTAGAAGTGGATGATTTAAGCTTTCTGTTGCCAGTGAAGAGGGTATATATGAAAGTATTTGAATCTTCCTTAGTGATGTTCAATTTATGCATGTGGATGCACAACATCAGCTCAGTTATTGGAGCCGATTGGATGTGCTATCTTGAATTGATCTTGATTCAAATTGTGCATTATGTGTATTAAATTCTATTCTGGTCACTGAATAAATATCATATGGACACCTTCAAGTGGGTAAATTAGTGTTGAGTTCAAACATGGATATGCCTATAGGATGTATCCTGACGTAGATATTGCCAAATACTCCAGTTTCTCTCACTAAAGGAGGAGATTTGCTTGGTTCAGATTGTTAAATATGAGTTGGGTCTTCTTTTTCTGAACTAACATTTATTCACTTACATCTTATCTCAGTTGGACAGTAAAGATGCTATTTTTTTGAGATAGCAGTAAAGATGCTATTAACTTTGATATTACTCCCTCCCAGCTGATACATGTGCTCATAGTGCTAACTGACATCTTATACTGAGCAGCTGTTAAGTATCCATTCTTTTTCCTTTTACGCAGATAGCAATATTTGTTTCTTCCAGCGATGCTGTACAACCAGGATGGCTTTTAAGTTTTTTAAAAAGCATAAGCCCTAGTAAAATCAGAGAAATGCAGATGAACCTTGGCCAGGTAAGTGATTGTAAAGCTTACATACTGTGCTGTATCTACATGCTCTGAAATGTCTTGCATAAGGTACATGCTGTCTTAGGGTCCAAATTTTAAAACCCTTTTTCGGAATATAGGAAATTGATTTAGACATAGTGTTTATTTTAAATGTAGGCTTGTAATACTTGTCGTATATATGTATCTTTTTGATTGTTGGTTCAATATCATTATTTTAATGGATGATCAGTATGGTAGCACTTCTCAATTATATGTCAATGCTTCTATTTCCAAACTATTCTACTTAGATATTCTTTTTACAACTGAGTTTCTTAAATTCCTTGTTTCAGCACTCAAGGCATTTCGTGTTCTCCAGTCCAGCGCAGCCCTTGGGTCCCGAAGACTTGGTTTGGAGAATGGTTTGTTATTGTCTCTTCTGCTAAAAGTCAATTTCTATTTTTATATAGTTACTTTACTTTGTATGAGGGTAGACAAATTACCTATAAATTTACAACACTTTTATTTAAAAAAAAGAGGGTAGGCAAACATATAATTAAAATATGTATTGCATGTGGGTGGACCTTAAGTTACTTGATTATGTTTCAAGTTATCCTGTCTTGAATCTGTTGATATTAGGTTATTTTAGGAACTGTTTGCAAGATTTGTTTTTCATAAATCTAGCTGTGATGAAGCTGCAAGTAATGGTTATTTGATATAAATAAGACCAAGTTATCTTAGTAAGCACTCTTGCAACTTGGATATATCATGTCTGTGTAAATTTCATTCTGATTATGAGCAGCAATGGGGCCATGATTTTTTTGAACCAGTGTGGGGCAGATGTAAGCTTGCCATTGAAAAATATAAAGTCAATGGAGGGTGTGGGGAGTTTAATATTTTGGAGTTGTCTAATTAACTTCAACCATTATGTTAGTCCTGCTATTTAGGATTGTATTAACATTATTTTGGTTAGGTTCATTAGGAGTGGTTTTTATTTAATGGTTAGGAGTGCTATTTTGAGTTATATTTTCTTTGCTTTTCTTAATATGAGTAGAATTAGTAGCACTTATAAATATATAGGTTATCTCTTGAGAATTCAGATTATCAATAGAAAGCAAGATGCGCAAGAGAAATTCTTCACTCTACTTTATGGGCAAACCAGAATTTTAAATTCATCAATTTTGATTTTCAATCTCTAGAATCAATTTTCCAAATTAGCCTCGCTCTTTCCCTACATCAATATGTGTCAAAGCAAAAGAAAAATCTATAGCTACTACTGTAGCTACAAAATTTTGAGATCATAGGCTGAACCAACCTGTTAGATGTCGGATATGTGAAGAATGATAAATCAACTTTTACAAGAAGTGCAAAACTTTCATGGGGATCATGAGAAGGCTTACATGGATGTACTAGAAGGAAATTATGGTCCTTTGAATATGTTAGAAGGAGGTCTTGAGGATGCAGAAGAGTTTGGATCTGTTTGTTCCATGCTCCCTATTTATGGAGCAGCCCGAGCATGGAAGAATTTGGGACCTGGGTAAGAACCTTAGATTGTAATTTGGGGGGTGAAAGTGATGTAATTGATTTTCGTGGAAAAAAAAAGTATATAAAATCTTTTCTAGATTAGGGAACCAATTTAGAAAATTATTCCCAATGGAAGCAAACTATCGAGGAGAGCAAATTATTAGTTCTGATGTTAAAGAAGAAGAATGTTGTGCTTCAATGGTGGAAAAGGCTAAAGGAGCAATGTGCAAGACAAGAAAAGACAAAAAATTGACCTGTTAATTGTTAATTGGCAGAGCAGATGGATGTGCAGAGGTGTAACATGCAGATGAGCAGATTGCAGACAGATTTGCACCCCATCAGGAGCGGCACACAGTAGCGAAGGGCTCTGGTGATGGAGACAAGGCCGTGGCAGATTAGCGTCCTGGCGCCAGCGATGAAGGCTGGCTTGGCTGCTGCTGGCAGCAGCGGTGGCTGGCGGCTGATCTATGGTGGTCAGCTATGAAGGCTGACCTACTTTTTTAGGATTTTTTTCTTTTCTATTTCGGCAGTGACCACCGAATAGGGTTTGTAGTGAAGGTTAGGGTTTCTTTAATGTAGACTTTGACACCATCTTAAGAATGGCTTGATATATATTTTATTGAATATTACAGCTATATGTATATATATTAGTTCTCTAGGATGCAAAAGGAAATAAATAATAAATTACAATCAATCACAAAGGGTATAATTTACCCTTGTACCTTTTAACCTAATTTATCCTTCGTTTAACAGTTTTTTTAGTGATTGCTAAGGTGTCGGTTGGAATGCTTTCCTTGGGCAAAATATTGTTATAACACCCACCAGTTCTCGTTACCTTGCTCTCTACTATTTTCGAGGTTGTTTATGGTCTGCCTTCCTGAAGGTTGGTCTCATACTATCCTGGAGGTGCAAAGCTAGAAGCAGTTGATCATCAATTGCAAAACCATGAGTTGCAGATCCCTTACTACCCAGGGTGCCATGAAATTGGCTTATGACAAGCATCACTATAAGGTCTACCTCAATATACATGATCAAATGCTTTTGAAGCTGCATCCTTACTGTGAACTATGCCCTAGCTGCTAAAGGACCAAAAAAGCTGGCCTCAAAATTTCATGGGCCTTTTGCCGTCTTGGAAAAAGTAGGGGATGTAGCCTACCAGCTTGCGCTGCCCTAGGAAGCATTTATTTCCATGTTTCTTGTCCCAAGAAGTTTGAGACCGTGATGAGCCTCAATATGTATTTGACCTTCTTTCGTTGCCATATGAAGTCCGATTTAGTGAAGATGTGATAGTTTTTATCGAACATATAAGAAAGATATATGATGGTATATGCAATATTCAATTCTTGAAATGAGCTTTATAAGGAATATGCGGATCAACACAAAAGGTTTAAGGGATTTGCAATGGGCAATCACGTTCAAGCGTATCTAAGGAAAGAATGGGTTCTGAAAGGGAGTTCTTTTAAATTTAGGTCAAGAAAGGTCAGTGCCTGCAAGATTGGGAAGAAGATTACTTCTAGTGCCTACATAGACCATAGCTGGTTTATCATATGTCCTTCAAATAAGGCTTATATTTAATGTTGTGGATTTATTTGATTTTCATGGGTTCGATTACAGCAGGGAAGAGCCTGGAATTGATAATTAAGTCAATTGCTAAAAAAGCCTAAGGAAACTGTTGAAAGATGTTCATGATATGAAGCAAGTGAAGTCTTGCATCAGGAATTTACATTGAACATTCTTATCTAGTGGAAAACCGTCAACTGAAAGATTTGGAGATAGATTGACGGTTAATTTTAGCTATCTACATGAATTCATTTGTATTTTCTTGCTCAGGTTGAGTTCTTCTCTACCACAGAGGAATTCATGCAGGAGCATAAAGATAAAAGGTTATAGAGTATTTTGGTAATTATGTATTGCTATATTTTGGGAATTAATTGTTTAGATGTTATTTGAATGCCTATTGTTTGGATTGTTTGATGTTATTTTGTTTAGAAATTATTTTATTTATACGCAGAGGTTCGTTCCATTTCACTAATTCTCCTGACTAATTTTCACATTACTTTTTACATACAGATTAGAAAATATTTAATGTTTGATTGCATTCCTTACTCCCACATTGAGTTCTTTAGGGGTTGGAATTCAGTTACCACTTCAAGATGAGGATAGGGGTGGGATTGAACATATAAAATGTACTCTAATTTTGCATCTCAAGACTGATATAAAGACTAGAGGTAGGAATTAGGTGGAAATGGAAGGGGAATTAGACCATATGCAATCCTATACTTAAAAATGATTTGGAGTTGTCTATTCAGTTTCCTAATAGTTGTCTAATTAGTAACGCTTCTAAATATCTATATAATTTGTTGAAATTTTAGATTATCAATATAGATCAATAAATAATTCAAGAGAAATATTTCTCTGTACTTTCTACCCAGACCAGAATTTAAAGTTCAGAATTTACATTTTGACCCCTAAAAGCAATTGCCCAAATTACTGCCTCTCTCCCTACTTGGTTATCGCTTTTCATGGTTTACTGGAACATGGGGAATTTTTCTCTTTTGTTTTGCATGTTTCCCTGGTTCTGGCGGTGATGATGGGAATATATTAAAAATAAGTTCGTAATGCAGTGAAGAGAATTGCACTCTTTGATGCCCTAAACAATTAATAGTGATTTTATTTTCCTGGGGTCGATGAGTTATCATCTTTTACTTAATCAAAATTTCTGGTATATCAAAAGATTTGCAAGGAAACCATTTTGAATTATTACTGATACTTTCACTTTTCTTGTGAAACAGATGGCTGGTAAATTGGTGAACATCAAGCTTCACACTCTGAGATCAATGCGTGTAGTGAAAGAGTCCAGAAGCATTTGTCATTGCGATTGTAAGCGTGCCAACTTTACAAATCCCAGCCCTTTGTTTTAATTTTCTTTCTCGGAACCTTCTCTAATCTCCAAGGGTTAAAGTTATTTATTCATGCATAGATATGAGGATGTTAAGTTCTTTTGTGGTATTAGTAAGTGGCAGGAAAGTGGGATATGCCAGTGGTTGTGAGGATGTCTAGTGCGATGTTAACAAACAGTAACGTTTCCCATCCGCCTGAAGGTTGCTACGTCTCTGTTTAAAGCAAAAAGTTCAGTAGAGAAGAGGGAAATTTAGCGGGTATGTTTCTTTAACTATATAGGGGTTTGTTTACGCTTTATGTATTTTCAACTGGTAATTGATTCTTTTGTACCTTCTTGAGGTCAAAATTCATGTGTACGATACAAGATTTTAACTGCTTGCATTCCATGTAGTATAAATATTATAATGAAGTGAATAGACAATGGTTCCGGTAAGTTCGATCTTAGCATAAAAAAAGACCCAATTGAAGATTTGTATTAAAGTGCCTACTAAAGTGAGGATATGTTTCTCATGAACTCTGGTAAATGGTGTTGCAAAGATGCCTTTTGCACCCTCTTGATGCGTGCCTTCCCTTTCAGCCTCAAAGTACTCGTTTTACTGTTCTGTACCTCTGTAATCTTATAGGCATTTGCATGGACTTTTTCCTTATTAAAAAAAAAAAATTGGTAAAAGGGTAGTTGAAGTTGATTTTGATAAAACCAAAATGTTGATACACATAATAAAAGGAACTAAAAGTCTTTAAGGTTTCAGTTGAAAAATTAAAGCTGTCTAAATCGACTTTTTATTTTTAAAATCTCGAGTAAAAAGAATATGTCAATAACATTTACGAGTACTCAGAACTAGTTTTTAACTAACGCATGACTTTCTAATTGAAAAACACAATCAATTCTATTGTTTTATTATTTTGCTTTAACCTAAGACTATAATTTTGTCGGAAAAAGGTTCTCTTTTTTTAGCCAAAAGGATAACCCATTGGTTTACATCTGTAGGGCAGCCTTGCAATAAACTTGAAGGCTCTCCTCCTGTTGATGTCAATATCTGCAGAATTGCTTCAAATTTGGCCGAAGCAAAATGCAGAATCGAATTCAAATTCTCCATTACTCTTTACCATTACCGTTAGTTACTATATCAAAAATTTTAAAATATATTAAAATTGTTTACATTAAATCTCTATTATAATTACAGAAAATCTTGACAGATCAGTTCACAACGATTTATTTTAAAATAAAATGATTAGTCATTAACTTATAGGAAATCGTTAGACAATACAATTCGATTCAACCCTCTTGATCTCAAACTCAAAATTTGCCATGAATTATTGAAAATTTAGACAATTTTTTTATAAAATTTTAAAAAAATCATGCGTTTCAACAATATAATAAATATTAAGTTTCGGTAAGCTAAATCGTGTTGGAAAAATTAATAGAATTGTACTTATAGATAGATACTAAAGACAGTATAATGTACTAACAAAGATTAACTGAAGAAGAAATTCTTCATTTCTTCTTCAGTTAATTACCTTTATATAATTTTTATTGGTAAAAAAATTCTCTTGCTGAAGTATTAAATTTAGTATGAACAAAAGTTTATCTGAGAATATCCTTCTGAATTTATTATTATTATTATATATATATTTTTTTTAATAAAGAGAATTTAGTGCATGTGGGAGGATGTCATTTTGCACGTACGAAGGGTCGACCAAAATTTGAAAAGCCACGATAATCATTCCGTTGTTTCCGCGTTTAGATTTGAGTGGCTAATTTGTAAATAATTGAAATATGTGAGATATTGTGGTAAATTTAAAGGGCATTCCGTAAGGTCATTTTTGTAATTGCAGGCATACTCCTCCGTTCATCTTGTTTGACATGTCCAACACGTAACACGCAGTGTACAGCTACCCCCCCACCCTGTTTCTAAGTTGCACTCCACTAACACCAACCTCATGTGTTAGTGCATAATTAAAAATTAATTAATCGGGTAAACAAATTCATAGGGATTCTAAATTTCCTTTAATTATATGTTAATCTTCTTGTCTAAACAAACGAGTATTCCTTAATCAACTCAACCCACTTTAGAATTTTTTTTCTTTTTTCTTTTTGTGAGATTGCATGTATCTCAAGATTTGGTAGTCAAAAAAATAGAACAAAATCTTAAAGATAAATGATGAACATACTAAACATTTTGATCAAATATAATATATCTATATATGTGTATGTGTGTGTGTGTGTTTGTGTACATTTTATTGTAAATCATTTGTTTTCGATCGAATTAAAAAAGTGAATTAGTTAATATTTACATAAATTTATTCAAATAGTATTTTACCGGATCATTAAAAGTTTAAAAAATTTTGTTTTGTTTTGATAGATAGCATGTATGTATATAGAATGAAAGTGAATTATTTTACTTTATTTAAGTAAAAGACAAAGAAAATAGGGAAAATATTTAGTTTAGGTAACCATATAATATAGTATAAAAATAACAAATAGGTGTTGAATTTAGAATTTATTTTTTCCTTCAATGAAAATTTAAGGACTTATAACAAGACAATTTCTAATCATAATTCCTTTTCCATTCATTCAATGAACATTTTTTGCCTTTTTGGAAAGAAATGATTGTCTTTCACTCATACACGTTTTGTTATAACATATGATATAAATTAAAATATTATTACTTGAAATAATTTATTTTCAATAATTATTGAACATGTGATAATTAAATAATAATGTACAATTTATATATTAATTATTTAATTATATGTTAATTGATTTAAAGTTAGTACACGTAAATAATTAAATTAAGAAAAAATTACCGAGATCAATCCCCAAGAATTTGATAATTATTATAATTTAGTTTTTAATAATTTTTTTTCTAATTTAATTTACGATATTTTTTTTACTTATTTTAAACATTTTATTTTTCTTCAATTCCTAATTAAGAAAACTCACATTTATTGTTATTAATTTATTAACTTAATTAATTACCCAAAATTATTTTAATTTTTTTTTAAAACATCTAAACATGGCCAAATTTTAGTTGAGAAATTTTAAAACTACGAATATATCAAGGGATGGGCAATGGGCACGACACGTATAGGTGGATGGATCCTTGGGTTACATTGCATTTTCATCCCTAGAAATCCCCATTTTAAACAAGTCAATACCTTTACCCACCAATTCATAAATACTTAGGAAATGCCCCAAAGTTGTTGTATAAACAAGTTCCCTACGTTGTTGTTTTTACCGTTTCCAAATCTCCCTATCGTAGTTAACCTATCTTAAGACTTTTTAAGACGAAAGTGCATCTCTACCAAAGAGTATATTGTAAAGTCTTTAAAGTTAGATTAATACCCCAGACACTTTAGATATTTGCAAAGATTATGGCAATTCCACGTACTACTACAACGTAAATATTTATGGTGATACATTTTACATAAAAATTTACCATATATGTCTTTTCATAACTGGTCTCTTTATATTTCTAAGTACATATTTTGTAGACAATTTGAGACAAATACAATAGACCATCTACTTCAACAATGTACACTATCTAAATTGCTACAGGTTGTCTCGTGGTGGACTTTTAAGCTAAAGAATCTCTCACATTTCTCAATAGTCTAATGGATTTCTTACCAGACTCATATTTTTCTCTATGCTTCTGTTATGATAAAATTCCTATACCTAATCAGGATATGCAAATGTATCATTTTCCAAAGTATATATAATGTATCATAATAATACGAACACATTTTATGTGTAGTAATTATACCTAAGAGATTGATAATAGATATTTAGGCATGAGAAGTAATTGGAACAATTTTTGTCTGTGCGTCGATTGTTGATGACATCGATATTTGTCTCTGTTTTATACTCTAGGTAGCTGACTCCATAACGCCACCACATATCTCCATGCCAGTTGCAACATCTTGCAAGGCTGCTCTATAAAATATTGAGGATCTTTTTGCTAAATTCAAAACTTTAGACCTCCAGCCCTTATATATATATATCTTGATCAATATTTTATATGACTTGTTATTTCTTGGGCTGACCTATGCCCCTAGCATTGGGCTTTTGGAGTTACCACATAGACTAGATAGTTTATGTAACGACCCAGAACTTTAAAATGAAATAAATTATAAATTAAATGCAGAAGCGAAATAATAGAGTTATAGTTTACATTCCTTACACAATAATTTAAAATACCCAATGGGGCTACAGGAATGATCATTCTAAAAGAACAAATGAAAAATCAAAGAATAAATGAAAAGTAAACAATTGAACGTCCTATTCACAATCCCCTTGTAGATCGAGATTTGAAACTTGGTTGTAATGATCCCAGAAATATCTAAAAGAAATAGATAATAATTTAAGTGCAGAAGCGAAATAAAAGGTTAAGGTTTACATTCCTTACACAATAACTTAAAAGTACTAAACAACATTACAGAATCCATTCTTTGAAAGAAACACAAGAAATAAGGAAACAAACAGAAAATAGAAAATATCTAGCATCTACTCGTAATCTTCTTGCGGATCGGATTCTGGAACCTGTTCCTCTTTATCTGAAATGG